AGAGGTTGAACCAAGGAACTTACATTGGCATTTTACTTAGCATTTGAGGATCACTATGAGAAGTGCATTTTTTTTATTGCTCTAATTATCAAAAAAAATGGTTTAAAGCAATACAGATTTAGAACCTTCAAAGATCTGAAGACTAGACTACAAAGCCAGTTTAGTTGGACTAAAGTTAAGGACTAGGCTGACTTGAGAGCCTTCTGGAAGTTCTAGGACAGCGTCTTCTCAACATTTCCAACCTCTAGAGACAGATAGCATCCCTCAGCTGAGTCCCCTTCTCTATCTCTATGCTGTATCACTCAGACCTTGCTTCTGTGCTTCAATTTCTATCTGGAATTCTGATCCTTCCTCCCCTTGTTAGGCCCTTGTGATTACACTGGGCATGCCTGGACAACCCAGGACAATCTCCTCAACTGAAGGTCCCTAATTTAATCACACTTGCAAAGTACCTTTTAATATGTAAAGTTCCACTTCATTGAGTTCTGGGAACAAGATGCTGTTTGGAAGCAGAATGTTATTCAACTCATCATGCAATCAGGCCGTGCTTTCAACCAGTGCCAAATGAAGTATTTTTGTTTTGAAAAGTCCATCTTTAGTAAAGATGTAGTCTTCTTATCATTGCTTCTTAGATTTGGATCCTTAAACTTTTTCTACTTCCAGAAACACTTCAGATTCATTATAACATGGGTAAGTGTTAGCAGAAACACCCTGGATCTGAACTATAATATTTAATCCTACACTTCATTGCATTTTTGTTTAATGTCCAATTCATTACATTATACAGAGAAAAAGAAGTCCATGGCTATGTTGTTTACACCTATATAATCTGTCAGCTCATTTGGTAAGTACACATAAATAAAAGTTGAAGTAATGACCAAATTCTCTTGTCAGAGATCTATAAACAGATAGTTCAATATTTTACCAGCAGGAATGTATTCAAAATGAAAATAGAGAAAATGCAAGAGTTATATCTTGGAGAGGAGTGTTGCAAGGGAAGGATTTGTGATGGGTAGTTGAAAAGAAGCTCATGGATAGATGTTTGTGACTGAAGAAACTATGCAAAAGGCCTCTAAGAAGAAAGGATGGCACTTCAAAGGTAAAAAGATCTATCACCTATCCTTCCTTCCTTCCTTCCTTCCTTCCTTCCTTCCTTCTATCATCTATCTAGCTATCATCTATTATCTATTATCTATCATCAATCATCTATTATCATCTATCATCAATCATCTATTATTTATCATCTATCTATCTCTATCTATCTATCTATCATCTATCTATCATCTATCCATATATCATCTATCTCTCTATCTATTATCTACCTATCTATCATCTACCATCATCTATCTCTCTATCTATCTATCCATCTATCATCTATCATCTACCATCATCTATCTATCTATCTATCTATCTATCTATCATCTATCATTCATCTATATCTATTATCTACCTTTATCTCTAGCTATATATCATCTATGTATCTATCAATCTATTAATCCAGCAATCTATTTATCTATTTATCATCTATAAATATATCTTATATAAAACTGTGTGATTATCCAGGAAAACTCACTCATTTCTGTTATTAGAGAACATAGTGTTGTATAAGTGACATATTCATGTCATATATCCCTAAGGACAAAATCTAAATTGTTGTAAACACAACAGGAAATGTGAAGAAAACTAAGAAATTTGGAGCTGAGTCACTCTATACTCTCCTGCAAAAAAGATCTCCCCTCCCCACCCATCTCTGCTTTCTAATTATCATCCCATTTTCCCAACCAATCCAGGATTTCAGTTCTGTCATGCAAGTATTTTGACATTGAACTACACTTCCAACCCTGACTCTGCTTTCTGACAACCTTGAATTCTGACCCAGCTCTTCTAACACTCTTGCTGTGTGACCTCTGTCAAGTCCAAAGCCTTTTCTGGGCCTCAGCTTCCTTATGCACGAAATAGAGAATCGCCACAGAAGTCCTCACCTCAGAATTACCTGGTGCCAGGGAGGAATATCAGTGAACAAACTGCAGAATCTGTGACCTGCAGAAGATAAAGACACCCTGTCTCCAAAGAAAGTCACCCTTCACTCTGGCCTCTACTGCTACTGCTAGGTCCTTGTAGCCAGACCATTGAGTTTTTCAAGAGAAGGTGCAATCGACAAGAGTTTCTTTTATTTTGTCTCAGTGCTGAAAACTACTTCTTGGGGATGCACTAAAATCCACCATAGGACAGGTTTATCCAGTTAATAAACTCTGGCTACTAATTGGGTCTATGAGGAATGGGATCTGCCACACTTTCCCTTTTACTTGATCAGCCTGGTCTCAAACACGTACCTACGTTCCCCCAGGAAGAAGAGAGGTCACACACAGGATTCAGTCTGGCTGTGAGGAGGAAGAGGAGCTGATCCTGGAGGTCCTTGTAGAGAGACCTATGAACTGGTGACCCAGTGGGCTGCTTTGATCTAAGGAAGTCCTCACAGCAAAGCCAGCAGGCCAAACCATATAGGCCAGGACTGAAGAGATAGACATAAGCTCTGCCCTTGGGGGCCTCATTCCCCACCCCCCAAGAAAAGAAATTGGAAGCTTGGCTTATCCCATAATAGTAAAATAAACGATAATGCCAAATTTATAAAACTATACTAGACTTTTCACTTAAATAATTTTTCAGGTGTTTGTTTTTAAAATGATATCTAATTTCTTCTTTTATTAATTCACCTTTATTCCTTATTAAGATATTAAAAGAAATAGGGAAAAATAGCCAAATTAATATTTTGGGATATATGTTATACAAATCTAAAATGAATAGATGTTGAAAATATATACTATATCAGGGTATATCTTGATTTCACTAAGAACTGACAACAAATATCAAAATTTGCCACAGGCTTATTTTTCTAGAAAAGAAAAAATTTCAAGAAAGATACTTAGTATACATAGTCAAAATGGTTCATTGAACACAATGAATATTAGAATTTATATTTTGGTGGCATATAGGACACAATGCTGTTTAGCTTCCCTACTGTTTCAAAAGTTTGAACTGAGATTTACATTGGGAAAATTCAGGCAAAAATCTGAAATCAGGGGCCTGGAGAGATGGCTCAACGGTTAAGAATACTGGTTGTTCTTGCAGCTGTCCATCACTAACAACTGTCCATCACTCCAGTCCCAGGGGATCCAACAGCCTCTTCTGACCTCTGCGGGCATTGCACAGCATGGGTGCACTTACCTATATGCAGGCAATACACACATACACATAAAATAAAAATAATAAATAAAATATTTTTTAAAAAAGAAAACAGGCTGGGGCCTGGAGAGATGGCTCAACGGTTAAGAATACTGGTTGTTCTTGCAGCTGTCCATCACTAACAACTGTCCATCACTCCAGTCCCAGGGGATCCAACAGCCTCTTCTGACCTCTGCGGGCATTGCACAGCATGGGTGCACTTACCTATATGCAGGCAATACACACATACACATAAAATAAAAATAATAAATAAAATATTTTTTAAAAAAGAAAACAGGCTGGGGCCTGGAGAGATGGCTCAACGGTTAAGAATACTGGTTGTTCTTGCAGCTGTCCATCACTAACAACTGTCCATCACTCCAGTCCCAGGGGATCCAACAGCCTCTTCTGACCTCTGCGGGCATTGCACAGCATGGGTGCACTTACCTATATGCAGGCAATACACACATACACATAAAATAAAAATAATAAATAAAATATTTTTTAAAAAAGAAAACAGGCTGGGGCCTGGAGAGATGGCTCAACGGTTAAGAATACTGGTTGTTCTTGCAGCTGTCCATCACTAACAACTGTCCATCACTCCAGTCCCAGGGGATCCAACAGCCTCTTCTGACCTCTGCGGGCATTGCACAGCATGGGTGCACTTACCTATATGCAGGCAATACACACATACACATAAAATAAAAATAATAAATAAAATATTTTTTAAAAAAGAAAACAGGCTGGGGCCTGGAGAGATGGCTCAACGGTTAAGAATACTGGTTGTTCTTGCAGCTGTCCATCACTAACAACTGTCCATCACTCCAGTCCCAGGGGATCCAACAGCCTCTTCTGACCTCTGCGGGCATTGCACAGCATGGGTGCACTTACCTATATGCAGGCAATACACACATACACATAAAATAAAAATAATAAATAAAATATTTTTTAAAAAAGAAAACAGGCTGGGGCCTGGAGAGATGGCTCAACGGTTAAGAATACTGGTTGTTCTTGCAGCTGTCCATCACTAACAACTGTCCATCACTCCAGTCCCAGGGGATCCAACAGCCTCTTCTGACCTCTGCGGGCATTGCACAGCATGGGTGCACTTACCTATATGCAGGCAATACACACATACACATAAAATAAAAATAATAAATAAAAAATTAAATTTAACATGGGAAGTTAGATAACTGGTCATAGTTTCCAAACCACAGTCTCTATAGGCACCTGTGGTCTAGTTCACCAGTAACCAGGTAAGCCTTATAGACCTGAGTCCTTGTGTCAGAACCTGTCCCCCCACCTACAAAACACAAAACTCATTAAACACCAACTAGGAAAAACCAAATTGAGAATTTGATAATGTATAATGTTGAGACTTATAAAGGCTATTTAAATCATCTAAAATGGAACAATTATGACATTCAACCTTTTCTTTCGTGATTTCGTTAGCAAACTTGACTCCATTAAAAGAGACAAGAAGTCAAACAAACTAGCTTAGCAATTATTCCCTCCTACTAATGTGACATTTATTTTGGCATCTAGTCCATCTAATATGAATTCAACAGTATAATAATCCATAAAGCATATATAAATAGACCATGTGTTTCATCTGTGGTCTGCATTTAAGTATGACCATATAATGTGTCATCCAACACACCAAATATTCATTTTATAGTAATAGTTTAAGAGATTTGACCCATTTACAATAGACAGACTCTTCAGACCAGGAGACAGAACCCAGAAATGTCATTTTTGCAGAAAATGGTACAGCTTACCTTGGCTATCTGGACACACCAGTTCAGCAGCAGCTGTGATCCAATGTTGTCCTTGTGCTCATGGACATAGTCCAGCAGGCAGCCATGAGGCATAAGCTGGGTGACCAGCTGGATGGTGGGGCTCAGACACACGCCCAGTAAGCGAACTAGGTGTGGATGATCCATACTTGCCATGATCAGAGCTTCCTATAAGGAAAAATCCATATAACCATCATTTTAACTCCATGTTGCTTTATATCAAACTTACTTGCATTATGGGAAAGCTGTAAATGGTTTTAAAATATACTCTGGAATCAATTAAAAATGAAAATACATTTATTGCAACCATTTTATGCTTAGACTGATTTAATTCAATGAAATTAATCAAGAAATAATCTATATACCATAAAATAAATGGAATTATAGAATTAATCCTTAAAAACAAAAATCTGTATTTTATCAACACGAATGCAATTATAGGATTTCTACCTAAAAATAAAAATCTGTATTAAATCTTTGGTAGCATGAGGAATATTTTATTTACTGAGAAGTATATTAAAATGCATATGAAATTGTACAGACTTTTAATTTTTGATCTTGGCCCTAGAATACAATAACCATACAAATATAGTCATTATCAAGAAGAATAAGATGGCCCTAACCTATCCATTATTCATGTAGAGTTAGAATATTTAAGTTCAATGTATAAATTTTAAAAATGTAAATAAATAACTTATAGTCAATATGTTCATTACTGGTTTATGCAGAAGAATGAACACATTAAAGGACATTTTGCTCTGTTCTGTTTGCTTAAATTTATTTAATTTTTAAAATTGAAAAAGATATCTTATTCATAGATCCATAAAGTCTGAGATCTAATTGAGACTATAAATTTTTTCTAGGCCAACTTTGTCATTTGATGAAATGAGAAAACTGAGTCCCAGTTTCTTTATCATAAAGACATCCTTGATTAAAATGAAAAAAAAATTGAAGGTAAAAAACAAACATATGATGGTACTTAGTACATAGTAAAGTTAGCCTCTAATCTAAAGCTATTATGAATACC